GGAAAGGAGTTTGTAAGCCACTCTGCGATTCCAAGTGAAGGGTGGGGCATAAATCCAATCTCCTCCTCTTCTTATTTTCCATGTTGGCGACCATGTTCCATCTGGTTTGGCCAGGGAAAGCCTAGACCGCTTTGGTACCTTGATGCAGACAGTCTGAACGGTCCCCCCTGTTCCCATTAATGAACAAGGGGGCACAGTTGACCCCCATGTTTTCCTGCGCGAGCCTTGTTGAACTGACAAAACCTGCTGCTACCAAAACCTGCGGATGAAAGTGGCCATTCCGGCTTGCTTCGCGGTTTGGCTGCTCGGTAATCGGGAGGGCCGAGTTGAATGTCGGAAGGTGAGCATTTCATGCTCTGAATGACCCCGCTCGCTCCCCTAAAAAAAAAAACAACCCTTGCCCTTCTGATGCCGTTGAGCTCCTGGTTCCTGCCCCAGGTTGCTTTTGGTGCAGAGAAAAGGGTGCTTGTTAGCGATGTGACCCAGCCTATCAGGAATCACGTAGCCTGTGTGTTACAGGGCCACGTAGCTGCTCAGATTTGGCTACACAAAAACACCATGAAGACCATATCAGAATGAGGGCCGCGCTTCATGCCCTCTGAATAGGGGAGCGTTATAACTGAAAAGAGGGAGTGCCTGTTGCAAGAAGCCGTTGATTTCACGTGGGGTGTGTGGCTGCGGCAGTGACTCCGGGTCCCCCGATGGACCTTTGCCCACTAAGACAACTCCCGCTTTCAGGGGACATGCCCTATCCACCCCTGCCCAGCGTTCCCTCTAAGCTGAGTGAGTGTGAGCCAGCTCACAGTTTTTTAGCCTCCGGCTCATGCATTTTTATCTCAGCCAAGGAAAAGACAGCTCCAGAGCAAACCCAATTTATGCAGAAGCCCACTCGCTCGCTCACAGCTTTAATGCCAGCCGCTCACCAAGTAGAATTTTTGCTCACAAGACTCCACAGCTTAGAGGGAACATTGCCCCTGCCCCCCATTTTGATTGGCAGAGGCCTGAGCTCTGCTGCGCAGAAACTCTGTGGAATGAATTTGGAGGGTGATCCTTACAGGCAGAGGGAAGTGTGGCGCAGGTGTTGCTGAGCAGTTGGCGAGCCCTTTTTGTTTCCTTCCCTCATCATGTTGCAGAGAGAAGGCCTGGACCGGGGTAAATGTTGAGCTGTATTGATTTCACGATCAACGTGTTTCCCTCACTGTATTTGCTTGTAAACAAGACTTTGAGCAGACGAGGTAGGGAGGAGGGCTTCTCGAGGAGGGCTCGTCGGCCCTCAAAATCACTCCCGGTTTTAGATCCCAATCATGTTCCCTTCCTCAGGCTTGCCAAACGTGGTGGACGGATGTGTCTTCTATTCCCTGAACACTCCAAGGGATACAGTCTAGCCAGCTGTTGGCAATCCAGTCTCCCTGAGGTGTAACTTTTGAGTTTTAGGAGGATCTCGGGGGGGGGGCAATTGCGCTTGCCCAGCCTCCTCTTCTGGATGGCGCTCGCTCTGCCACGGAGATGAACCAAATATTGTTTTCCCCTCAAGCAGAGGCAAAGCACCAGGGTGAGCTCGCCCTGCTTAATTGTCATTGGGCTCCTGGTTAAAGGTGGAATCGGAAAGCAAGGCGGCAGCCCCGTCTGGCTGCATTCCCGAGGGCAGGCTCTCTTCCTCTTGGAAACCGTGCAAAGCATGCCTTAGACCAGGGGTCCCCAACATGGTACCCGTTGGCACCTTCCCTGGCACCCAAGTGCTTTTAGAATGTGGGCAGGGCCAGGTTGGGCATTTGCCTAGGGCAGCTTCTGATTGGCCATTGGAGATTTGATTGGCCATGCAGGTTTTTTTAAAAAGATGTTGGTTCGGTAGCAGCGGCTACCTCGGCACAAGGACTCCCACGGTGTGACTTCAGGTAAGCCACGGCAGCCGTTTTTGGGGCTGCATCCCCCCACACTGTGTCAGAATCCCCAAGGTGCCCCCGCAGGCTCAAAAAGGTTGGTGGGTGACCCCTGCCTTAGACCATGGCCCAAAATCCATTGCAGCCTTCAGGGCTTTTGCAACAGGCAGACTACAGTACAAAAAGCTCCCTGCAGGTTGGTCACTGGCACACCGACTCCTCTGTGTGTCCCGAGAAGTGTCAGGTGGTGTTTTTTTTGTTTTAATTTTTTTGGCTGCATTGGCTTACACTGCAGAAATCTTCCCCATGCACAAGTCAGTTTTGCACAGAGCGTGTATGTGTGCGTGTATGAATCCAGGTTGCGCTTTTGAGATTTCTCAGGTCTGCTGTTGCCCCAGCCACCAAAAGCACTGTTTACTACAAGGATGGCCAAAAAGGCAGACAGAACCCGACGAGCTCCATTTGTCACTTCTGTCCACGTGACATCCAGTGGACAACTCCTGATGACTCAAGCCACGAAACTCCACTAGCTACAATCTCTGACGACAGGGATCTCCCTCCTCCATGTGTCACTGTTTGTTTGGTTTTTGTGTGTATGGGCATCTCTGCGTATGAAAATTATATTTTTAAAAGGCCAGGAAGATACAGGTCGTGTTAAAGGGAGGGGTGCGAGGCTCGTTTGTGTCTCAGAAAAGTGTGTGCCCGTGTGTGTGTATCTGCTCTTCGATGGCTCTTATATACTGCAGTCAGCTGTAGTGGTGACATTTCCCCCCTCCATCTCCAAAATAAAAACAGATTTTCAGAAGGGTGATTTGTATGCCTTTTTATGGTCTGTGTGTCAGTTACCAAAAGAGTTGCCCACATCGTGTCAGGACGATCCAAGATGCTGGAGCAGCTTCCAAACAAGCAAGGCACAGTAACCAGTGTTCCCTCTAAGCTGAGTTAGTGTGAGCTAGCTCACAGTTTTTTAGCCTCCGGCTCACGGATTTTTGTCTTCGCTCAGGAAGGAGGGCTCCAGAGCAAACTAATTGATGCAGTAGCCAAATCACTTGCTCAGAACTTTAATGCCAGTAGCTCACAAAGTAGGATTTTTGCTCACAAGACTCCATAGCTTAGGGGGAACATTGGTAAAGACGGCAAGGTCGTGCGCGCTTGCGGGCCGTGCCGCAACTGCTTGGGCAGTGCCGGGGGTGGCAGAAGAGCACCCGTGCCTGTAAACACTCTAGTGCAGCCCCCTCCCCAAGTGCAGAAGTCCAAAAACATGAGAACGTTTAGCAGATCATGGGGAAGGCTGGGAGGTGTCAGGTAACCGTTGCAATCCAAATCCCCCCCCCCCTTGTTTCTTTCGTCTGTTGAAAAGTGAGCTGCTGGCGAAACGCCAGGTACTACAATGCCAAGACCACGGCCGTACAGCCCAGGAAATCTACAACGACTAAAGAACTCCGGCCGTGAAAGCCTTCGCCAACATATTGAAAAGGCGTGGCTTTCAATCTGGCCAAGCGATCTATGCATCGTCCCAGGGTCTCCCCCGACCAATGCTCCCTCTAAGCTGTGGAGTCTCGTGAGCAAAAACGCTACTTTGTGAGCTGCTGGCATTAAAGTTGTGAGCGGGCTATTTGGCTACTGCATAAATTGGTTTGCTCTGGAGCCCTCCTTCCTGAGCTAAGACAAAAATGTGTGAGCCGGAGGCTAAAAAACTGTGAGCTAGCTCACTCTAACTCAGCTTAGAGGGAACACTGCCCCCGACCACACTTGATAAAGTCAATGGGCGCCTGGGAGCACTTTTCCTGGAAAGTTTTTTTTTTTTTTTAAAGGACACTTCTTGCACTCGGTAATCTAGCAAACAAGGATGTCAGTGCCTAGGATATACCTTTCTGCTGTGTCTGTCAAAGGCGCTTCGATTCTCGAAAGCTGACACCCTGAAACTCTGGTTGGTCTCTATAAGGTGCTGCTGGACTCCAATCTAACTGCAGGAAATACCCTTGACATACTTTTAAAAAAATGCGCAAGGAGGGTTTCCACCATGGGAGAGCATACTAACGTGTGAAATGGTAGAGTGGAGAAAAAGCCATGCCAGAGGAGGGCAACCAAGATGGTGAGGGGCCTGGAGACCAAGTCCTATGAGGAAAGGTTGGAGGAGGAGCTGGGGATGCTTAGCCTGGAGAGGAGATGACTGAGAGGTGATATGATAACCCTCTTCAAGTACCTGAAGGGCTGTCCTCTAGAGGATGGTGCAGAGTTGTCTTCTGTTGGCCCAGGAGGTTGGACCAGAACCAACGGGTTGAAATTAAATCAGAAGAGTTTTCGGCTAAACATTAGGAAGAACTTCCTGACAGAGCGGTTCCTCAGTGGAACAGGCTTCCTCGGGAGGTGGTGGGCTCTCCTCCTTTGGAGGTTTTCAAACAGAGGCTTCATGGCCATCAGACAGCAATGCGGATTCTGTGAACTTAGGCAGATCATGAGAGGGAGGGCAGGGAGGGTTGCCTCACTGCTTAGTTCTTGTGGCTGTTTCCTACACGCCCAGGGAAATGCCGATTGACACTTCGGGGTCAGGAAGCCATTTTCTCCAAGCCAGTTTGGCCAGGGATCGTGGAGGCTTTTTATCATCTTCTGGGCATGGAGCAGGGGTCACTGGGGGGGGGGGGCGGAGGTGTTTGTGAATTTCCTGCTTTGTGCAGGGGATTGGACTAGATGACCCTGGAGGTCCCTTCCAACTTTATGATTCTATGTGATTGGTGTAGGTATGTAGGCCAGCTCTGCGCTACGATGAGGAACACCTTACCTAACACCTTACCTACGATGAGGAACACCTTACTCCGTGGAACACCTTACCTAAGGCTTGGCTCATTCCTGACAATGCTTCCAACTGAACGCAGAACTTGACTTCATTTCTGGGCTAAACTATGACCCAAAAGGAGGGGAAAAAACTATTTGTAGATTTGCACACACTGGTACCACGACGGTTACTATCCCCCAACGTCACACAGCGCAAAGACGCCGTTCCTGCCTAGACCCAGTTCCTCTGTTGGTTTGCCCTTGATCTGCCAATCAAGCCATCTGTCTTCCCGGGAATGGCGTCCTTGGCCTGTTCCCAGTAATAACTCCTCCCAGACCTTGTCATTCAATCCACTGGCGTCATCAGCGCTTTTATTTTGAACACAGTCCCGGCTACAGGTTGCACCACAGGCTCGCCGTAGGGTGCCAGCCCAAAGTGGGAGAACAGCGGGGGTCACCGGCCCCTCCCCAGGTTTCCTCCCACATCGCCACGGCATTTCCAGAACTCGCAGTCTCCAGGAATCTTCCTTGTGCAAAGCCCAGCACTGACGCAGCACGGCCGGGCAGAGTCTGGCCTCCTTCCTGCCCCTTGCCACGGGTGGGGGCGGAAAAGCGTGGCTGCCGTGGTCCCCGTGCCTTCTCATTCTCTCTCCACTCGGGCAGGGGCAGGCCTTGGGGGTACATTACATTTTAGCGTTTTAATTTTAAAATCGTTCTACCGCCCCCTGCGTTAAGAGCCATTCTCGATTTTGGCCAAGAATTGTTGTGCCCACCAGTCTTCAAGATCTATTGGCACAAAACCTGAAAGAGAGAAAGGATAGGGGGGGTATCATGAGCGGGTATTGGGGGTGGGGGATTTCCTCCTGTGGAATCAGAATACAGGCTAAAAGGGCACAGGCCAGTAGTTTGGCCTCAAGAGTTTTATACAGGACTGGTCCCTTTTCTGTTCTGGAAAGGAAGAAGAAGAAGAAGAGATTGGATTTATACCCCGCCCTTCACTTGGAGTCTCAGAGCGGCTTACAAACTCCTTCCCCTTCCCCTCCCCACAACAGACACCCTGTGAGGTGGGTGGGGCTGAGAGAGCTCTGACACAAACTGCTCTTTTTCAAGGACAGCTGTGCCAGAGCTTGGGACTGACCCAAGGTCACATCAGCAGGTGCAAGTGGAGGAGTGGGGAATCAAACCCGGTTCTCCCAGATTAGAGTCCACACACTTAACCGCTACACCAAACTGGCTCTGGAAGATACTCAATTGACACCACAGTTCGAATGAGGCATTTATACATTAAATTAACCACATATGGATTCAGAAAAAAAATACAAGTTTTACCTTTAAATCTCACAAAACTGGGGGGAAAGATGCAAAACTTTGATTGTAACTAGGGTTGCCAAGTGTATCTTCGCCGGGAGCGGGGGGCTCCCGGCTGGCGTCTTCTGCGCACGCCGCATGCACGTCACCCGGAAGTGACGGGAGGACGCCAGGCACGCTGGGGGCCCGGCGTGCCCACGTCACTTCCTGGTGGGGTTCCCCCAGGGCCCGATTCCGCAGCGGCGGAAATCGGGCCTCCAAAGTGGGGGTTTACCCGCCCCCCGCCCCCACTTGGCAGCCCTAATTGTAACTTCATTCTCCCTACCTGGCCTGTCTTACTATTTCAAAACTGTATGCAATACTTCTGTCCAACGTGCATTTCCATTTTTGTACGAGCCATATTGCTATTTGGGCAACAGCTGTTTTCTGCTGGCAGGGGGAGGGGTTATTTCTGCTCAGTCTCCCTCCACCCCCATTTCAGCGGTGTCGTTCCTGGGGTTGCCCTCAACCATGAGAGGTTGTTCCGGGGAACCTGGTGGGCTGTGTGCTGGAGGGGCAGGTGGCAAAGCACCTTTCTGTGATCTCAACTCACAATCCTCATTGGATCCGAGACATTAATCACCATTTGCGTCTCTGTGGTGATGGCCACAGAGTACAAGGTAAGTTGCCACACACAAAAAAAAGGAAAAGTGTGATTGTTATGTGGAGTCGAACCAAGCCCAAATCCAAAAACTGGTTGCGAGACATTTGGTGTAGTGGTTAAGTGTGAGGACTCTAATCTAGGAGAACCGGGTTTGATTCCCCACTCCTCCACTTGCACCTGCTGGATGACCTTGGGCAAGCCATAGTTCTGATAAGAGCTGTCTTGAAAAAGAGCAGTTTCTGTCAAGAGCTCTCTCAGCCCCACCTACCTCACAGGGTGTCTGTTGTGGGGAGGGGAAGGGAAAGGAGTTTGTAAGCCGCTCTGAGACACCTTTGGGTAGTGAAGGGCAGGGTATAAATCCAATCTCTTCTTCTTCTTCCAGTGAACGAGAGCTGAACCTGACCAAAAATCTCTCAGTTGCTTGGAACTAAACCCTTGAACTCGAAATAGGGACCACCACCCTCTTAAAAACAAAGTGTTCCTTAATCAGGTGCTAAGGAGATTCTTGTGAGGGGATCCACCCTCCAGCTATCCTGGAAGCAACATATATATTTCCCAATGAGCCCTACGAATGGAAGAGAGGCTGGGAGGCAGGGCCAAGGAGGCCTGCTACCACCCATCCTCCTGTGGATCGAGGAGACGCTCCCACCAGCCCTAAAGTTAGCGAGGCCTTCACGTGGAGGATTCTGGAAGCCAGGCTGGATGCTTTTGTTGTTCTTCTTGGCCTTGGAGTTGCTCCTGGCTGCCATTCCACCACATGTAAGCTTGTTTTCCTTTTTTTTTTTTAAACTTGGACTTTTTGAAAGAAAAGAGAACTTGTGGGCCGGGGAAGGTGATGTTTTTAAAAGGGAAGGCTGACCGTGAGAACAGGAGGAAAGGAAGCTGAGCTTAAACAGTGGGGTAAAATGCTCCTTAGCTGTTTTAAGGGGCTTAATAAAATAAAACCACTATCTAAGAGAAGGACTTTCTTCCTGAAATAGCATAGTTGCACCTTGTTTGTCTGCTTATTTAGGTATGGAGAGTCCCATGTTGATTTTTTTTTAACTATATACAATATATGCAAAATAATGTTCATAAAAACTAAGGCCTAGGGAAGAAAACGAGCGGTGCCATTTTAATGCTGATATTTCTTCTAGTTCAGTAAGTGAATTTTGCACCACGAAATTACAGCCAATGTTTATGAAAAAATATTGAGCAAGCAATGTGCAGTAGTAGTAGTAATAATTCAATCCTAGGAGCAGGGCTATTTTTGGGCAGGAACGCACAGGAACGGAGTTCCGTCTGGCTTCCAAGTTGGTCACACCCAGCAGGAACTCATTATCATAATAGGCCACACCCAACAGCAGAAACTCATTAGGATTGGCTACATTAGGGGTGTGTGGCCTAACATGCAAAGGAGATCCTGCTACAAAAAAGGCCCTGGGTTTTGACAACAAACAAGGTAAACAGAATAAGAAGCAAAAGGTGGGTGTGGCTGGATGACCACACTTCTGGTAACATGAGGGTGTGGCCTAATATGACAATGAGTTGCGCTGTCAGAGGTGTGGCCTAATATGCTAATGAGTTTCTGCTCTTGGGTGTGGCCTATTATGCTAATGAGTTCCTGCTGGGCTTTTTCTACAAAAAGAGCCCTGCCTAGGAGTATGGTTGTCAGCTCATTTGGATATTCCTGGAGGTTTAGGGGTGAAGCCAGGGGAGCTCCAGGTTTGGAAATACCTGGAGATTCTGAGGGTGGAGACTGAGGAAGGTCCACCCTCCAAAGCAGCCATTTTCTCCAAGGGAACTGATCTCGATCGGCTAGAGATCAATTGTAATAGCGGGGAGTCTCCAGGTACCACCTGGAGGTTGACAACCCTAGCCCCCGGGACAACTTAGGCTTGGCTGCCCAGAGAAGCCTCAGGCAAAGTCACTAAATAATCAATTTAAAACTGCTCAACACCTCCCATGCAGCCCCACTTACTTCAAACTTAGCTCCCTTTTCTTCCCATTTGAAAGTTACACATTGAAAGGAAACTATGTGATATTATTCGTAAAATGGTTCAAAGTGGCTGGTTTTTTTACAAGCTGCTTTGGGCCCCATTCTTGGGAGAAAAGGGAGCTAAAAATTATTTTAAATAACTAAATGAACTGGTTACTGATCCACTTTTTCATGGTAAAGCATGACCAGAAAGTTAAGAAATGCTCCTGATCTGGAAATGAAAATAGATGTTTAATGGTTCAGCAACCTGGTTAGCAGTTTTGAATTTGTTATTTTTTAACTTCGTGTGGCTACGCAGGTCTACGCTGAACCTTGTATTTTAGGAAGACAATAAGGTTTAAGAACAGTCTGCAGTTTTGTTCTGGCTGTACTACAGTTATAGAATGTCAACTAATTCAGACAGAGAAATATAATTCCAAGTGTTTTACGATTCCGGTTTCATTTGCACCTTAGGATGAGTCACGTTAGGTGAAAGAACTCCACCAACTCCCCTTAAATTTGACCCTGAGATCTCTGCATTCCAAGAAAATATACCCAGGGAAGAGTCCTCAAGGCCTGATGACTTCCATGAAGCCGTAACTATCCAGCTGTGGAGGCCTTTTTGGTCACAACTCTATAGCAGTAGGACTTGCCTCCCAATTAAATCCTGCTTCAACCCAGCAGTGTAATTACTTAGAAACAGAATCATATTTCCTTTTTTCCACCTAGCAGGGGGGGGAGGCTTTATCTATTGTCTAGTATGATTTCATTACCATGTACTGACCACTGGAAGGGGAGGCTCTTAATTCCTGCCGTTCATGCATACCAGAGGACTGCCCTGTGGCCTCGAGCTGGGGGGAAGCCTTTGAAGGGGGGGGGAAACAGTTTTGTTTACTCCAGCAGGTCTTCTGCTATTAGCTCTTTCCAGGGCTTTTTTGGTAGAAAAAGCCCAGCAGGAACTCATTAGCATAATCGGCCACACCCAACAGCAGAAACTCATTAGCCTATTAGGCCACACCCCTGACATTGCAGCTCATTGGCACATTAGGCCACACCCCCATGTTGCCACACCCACCTTTTGCTTCTTATTCTGTTTGCTTTGTTGTCAAAACCCTGGGCTTTTTTTGTAGCAGGGACTCCTTTGCATGTTAGGCCACACACCCCCTAACGTAGCCAATCCTAATGAGTTTCTGCTGTTGGGTGTGGCCTATTATGCTAATGAGTTCCTGCTGGGCGTGGCCAACTCAGGAGCCAGCTGGAACGCCGTTCCTGTGCGTTCCTGCCCAAAAATAGCCCTGGCTCTTTCCAGGCACCATTCTTGACCACAAATGCTACGGCCACTCCTGTTTCTTCTCCCCGTCCCCCCAGCTAGCTAACAAGGCCCAGTTTCTCTTCACCCTTTCCTGGATGGGTGTTCTCTGCCAGCCTTCATTCCACAGACTGCTGTATAATATGAGAGCCAGAAGACTGAACGCTGGACAAGGGTGTGGGAAATTCCGATTTCGACTCCGACGGACTGTCCTTGTGCAATTCACGGCCCCTCAGTTCCCATCTGTAAAATGGGTCTGCTTTCACAGGGTTCTTAGCGAAACAAACCCTGAGGTTCCAAAGCATCTGTCTCCTTTGGATGTTCTCTCGTTACCGTGGGGCTCTTCCCCCACCCACAGTGACAGGGTTGTCACCCTCCGTTTGGGGCCTGGAGATCTCCCAGAACTACAACCGATCTCCAGAGATCAGTTCCACTGGAGAAAATGGCTGCTTTGGAGGGTGAACACTGCAGCACTGTTGACAGAGTTGCCAGGTCCTACCTGCGATCTGGCAGGGGGCTCCTGGGTCTGGCCCAGGATCTTTCGCCGTGCATGCAAAGCACAAGCGGCATGACAAAAGTGACACCATCTTCGCATCGCAGGGGAGGGTGACTCTCTAGTTTTTGGGCAAAACTCCATGGTTTTTTGGCTTCAAAACCATAGAGTTTGCCCAAAAACTAGAGCATCGCCCCGATGTCGGTGATGCAATGATGTCACGTCCAGGTGATGTCATTGTGTTGGGGGTGCCACCCAGCAATGTTCCTGTCTGGGGGTGGGGCTTCCCCTGCCAGCCAGCTGGCCAGCAGCAAATAGATCTAAGCCCCAAAAATCAGAGGGGCCCCCACCCAGACCGGGGGTTTGGCAATCCTCCCTGTTTGGGTTCCTGCCCTCTCCAGGCTTCATCCAAAAATCTCCAGAATTTTCCCACCCAGAGTTGGCAACCTGTCAGGTAACCCTGTCATCGTGTTGGAATGTGGAGGGGGCACTTCCTCCTTCACGCCAACTCATCCTGCCTGGCGTTTCACTGCTTATCTCTAGTCTGACCTTGTTGTTTCTTCCAGCTGCACCATTGCCTGGCCTGGGAATCTTAACCGTTTGGGCGCGCAGGCACTTGCTTCCCCGTGCACGCGAAATGTAATCATTGGCTTTGGCTTATGGGGGGGACGTTTGATTCTACTATAAGTCAGTGTCCATCATATTGCAGGTCATTCCTGACACAAGCTGTATACTCGTTCTTTAGTAATGGACTATCATTAAACACTTATCTTCTTAAGAAGCCTTGGTGTGTGGTGTGATCCTGCTAAGGAGCCTGACAAAGTGTCAGGAATCTATCATCCCTGAACTCGTATCTCTCTGCCGAGATGAGCAAAGGTGGGGGGCTTCAACTCGAGGAAGGGGACAAAACCCAACCCGAGGAAAAGAATGTGGAATCCGAGGAATCGGAGACTACCCTGCAGGATGCGGGAGCAGGGGATGAGGATATCCTTCATATGCCGTTCGGGGGAGCTAAACCCTGAGTGACCATCTGGTTGCGGGGGCCCCATTGGTTTCAGCACAGACCCGCATGAGACTTGGACTTTTTACTCACTGGCAGCACTGCGCAGGGAAAGTCGAGCTTGCTTGGCTACTGAGGAATTAAATTCTATCCCCTTGGAGTACCGGGATCTGTCTCAGGTGTTTGAAGAAGAGGAAGCGGACAAATTGCCCCCCCATTGACACTCAGACTGTGCCATGGAATTGATCCCCGACAAAAAATTGCCCAAAGGCAAATTGTATGCAATGAGTCCTTAGGAGAAAGAGGAATTGCGTAAGTTCATTGACAAGAATTTGGCGTGATGTTTCATTCGACCCGTGTCCTCCCCTTTTGCAGCTCCGGTCTTATTCCGGAAAAAGAAAGATGGGGGGTTGAGGCTGTACACCAACTATAGGGGCCTGAATGCTGTGTCCACCACAAATGCTTACCCTCTACCACTCATGAAGGACCTCTTAGCGGAAGTGGCTAAGGGGAAAATTTTATCTAAGTTTGATCTCTGGGATGCTTACTTTCGTGTCCACATAAAAGTCGGGGACGAATATAAGACTGAATTTAATATCCCATTGGGGCAGTTTGAGTACAGGGTGATGCCCTTCAGACTTCAAGGAGCCCCTGGGATCTTCATGAACCTTATTAATGAAGTGTTGCACAAGCACTTGTTCAAGGGAGTGATCGTTTATCTTGATGATACCCTGATTTATTCCACTGATAAACCAGCACATGTCAAGCTGGTGAGAGAGGTCCTACAAACGTTGCACAAGCACAAACTGTTTGCCAAGCTGTCCAAATGTGAATTTAATTGCTCTGAGATTGACTTCCTAGGCTACCACATTTCACAGAGGGGTCTGGAAATGGATCCTGCTAAAGTCAGGGATGTGGTGGGGTGGGAGCCCCCTCAAACCTGGAGGCAACTACAAGCATTCTTAGGATTCACAAACTTTTACCGGTCATTTCTTGCAAATTTTGCCTAAGTGAGCTTACCGCTCACGGATTTATTAAGGACCAAGAGGAAGGGACCAGAATGCACCCGGCGGGGGGCTAAATTGAACTGGACTAGCGGATACCAGGAGGCATTCGAACGGCTCAAAGCCCTATTTACCTCCGAACCCGTGTTAGCCCACCTGAACAAACTCAAGAAGTTTATTGTGCAGGTCAACCGGCTGACGTTGCAATGGGGGGGGGGGATTCTGCAAGAAGGGGAGGATGGGAAACTGCACCCCGTTGCGTATGTGTCCGGCAAATTTAATGACACTGAGAGGAATTGCTCCGTATGGGACAAGGAGGTGGGGGCTATCAAATTGGTGCTCTCTACTTGGCGCCACTGGTTGGAGGGGGCGAGGGGGCCTTTTGAGGTGTGGACTGATTATAAAAACCTGGAAGTTATGCAGACTCCCAGGAATCTGAATGCCAAGCAATTGCGGTGGGCCGATTTCTTTTCCAAGTTCAATTTCACCCTTCACCATTTTCCAGGGAAATCAAACTCCCTGGTGGACGCGTTGTCCCGCCTCCCACAACATGACAGTAAGTGGGAGAGTGTGCTCGATTCCATGTTCACACCTTCACAACTGGGAGGGGCAGTGACGACATGCAGCCAAGCTAAAGCCCAGCCTCTTTCATCCCCGGGGACCGGATGGGAGGAGAAATTTGCTTCTGCCTTTTCGGATGCTGATTGCCTCGAATTAAGCAATGAGAGCGAGGTGGAGGAGCGTACAAAGGGGTGTTGGTATCGAGGTTCAAAGTTGTTTGTACCTTTGGCTTTGAGGGGCAAGATCATGACCACAGTTCATGGAACTAAGTTGGCGGATCATTTGTGGTTTGTTAAATCCTTGCACTTGTTACAGCGACAGTTGGCAACTACAAGCATTCTTAGGATTCACAAACTTTTACCGGTCATTTCTTGCAAATTTTGCCTAAGTGAGCTTACCGCTCACGGATTTATTAAGGACCAAGAGGAAGGGACCAGAATGCACCCAGCCGGGGGCTAAATTGAACTGGACTAGCGAAAACCAGGAGGCGTTAGAACGGCTCAAAGACCTATTTACCTCTGAACCCGTGTTAGCCCACCTGAACAAACTCAAAAAGTTTATCGTGCAGGTCAACGCATCTGACGTTGCGATGGGGGGGGATTCTGCAAGAAGGGGAGGATGGGAAACTGCACCCCCTTGCATATGTGTCCGGCAAAACTAAGAGGAATTGCTCTATATGGGAAAAGGAGGCGGGGGCTATCAAATTGGCGCTCTCTACTTGGTGCTCTCTACTTGGTGCCATTGGTTGGAGGGGGCGAGGGGGCCTTTTGAGGTGTGGACTGATTATAAAAACCTGGAAGTTATGCAGACTCCCAGGAATCTGAATGCCAAGCAATTGCGGTGGGCCGATTTCTTTTCCAAGTTCAATTTCACCCTTCACCATTTCCCAGGGAAGTCGAACTCTCTAGCAGACGCGTTGTCCCGCCTCCCACAACATGACAGTCAGCAGGAGGATGTGCTTGATTCCATGTTCATGCCTTCGCAACTGGGAGGGGCAGTGATGACACGCAGCCAAGCTAAAGCCCAGCCTCTTTCATCCCCGGGGACCGGATGGGAGGAGAAATTTGCTTCTGCCTTTTCGGATGCTGATTGCCTCGAATTAAGCAATGAGAGCGAGGTGGAGGAGCGTACAAAGGGGTGTTGGTATCGAGGTTCAAAGTTGTTTGTACCTTTGGCTTTGAGGGGCAAGATCATGACCACAGTTCATGGAACTAAGTTGGCAGGTCATTTGTGGTTTGTTAAATCCTTGCACTTGTTACAGCGACAGTTTTGGTGGCCCGGAATGTGGAAGGACTTTTCCCTATTTGTGAAGTCCTGTCAGACCTGCATTATGTGCAAATCCCGCCCTGGGAAGCCCCCGGGGTATCCTGCAACCCCTTCCCACCCCTGGTCGTCCATGGGAAGTGATCTCTATGGACCTCATTACTGACTTACCCCCTAGTAAAGGGAAGACTGTAATTTGGGTGGTAGTTGACCTGTTTTCGAAACAGGCTCATTTTTGTTTCTAAGTTCTGGGGGGAGCTCATGACACTGATGGGGGTGGAGAGGGGCTTAAGCAGCGCCTACCCTCCCGAGACGGATGGACAAATGGAGCGTGTTAATCAAACACTCGAACAGTATCTCAGGTGTTTTACTAACTTCCAGCCAGACGACTGGGAGGGGCTTCTCCCCTTGGCTGAATTTGTTATAACAATGCATGTAATTCTTCGACTGGTGTATCCCCATTCATGGTGGTATATGGTTATGAGGCACCGCCTCATTGGCTTTGTGTCTTGTAATAATTGGCTTTGGCTTATGGGGGGGGGGGAATGTTTGATTTCACTATAAGTCAGTGGCCATCATATTGCAGGTCATTCCTGACACAAGCTGTATACTCTTTCTTTAGTAATGGACTATCATTACTTATCTTCTTAAGAAGCCTTGGTGTGTGGTGTGATCCTGCTAAGGAGCCTCACACAACCCCACAACAGCAAACCAAACAGGGACAGAGTTGCCAACAAGTCCAGCTCAGTCTACAGGGAAAAGGGTTTTCTGCTTTGCCTGGAGAATGTCCCAGCCCCAGCCCCCTCCAATAAAAGGATCTCAAGCAGGAAGTGTCAGGGAAGACCTCTTTCTGCTGGAGACCCTGGAGAGCCAGTCAGAGTAGACGATCCTGAGAAGGATGGACCAATGGCCTGACTTCAGATATTTCTACTGACCTTTCAGTTCAGGGCTGGGTGTTTTCTCTGTGTACTGTATGGGGCCGGATCCGTTTTCTCCTGGGCAGCTGTTGTACAACTGTTGCTCTACCTGTTGCCAGGCTGGAGGGGAAAAAGAGAGGGGCGCGTGAGGCCGGAGAAAGCAAGGACACACAGACGTCCCGTTTCCTTTGACCACCAGCTCCGTTTCTGAAAGCGCTTCCGTGTCTTCAGGTACACGTGATGGCAGCAAGAAATTCAAGAATGTCCCAGACCTACAAGCAATGTACCCGCTAAACTGTGGAGTCTTGTGAGGAAAAAATCTCCTTTTGTGAGCGGCTGGCATTAAAGTTCTGAGTGAGCGATTTGGCCGTTGCATACATTAGTTTGCTCTGAAGCCATCCTCCCTGAGCTAAGACAAAAATGTGTGAGCCGGAGACTAAAAAACTGTGTGCTAGCTCACACTAACTCAGCTTAGAGGGAACACTGCCTACAAGTGTGTACGTTTGTTGTCCCTTCGTTGCCAAAAGCCACTTTCTTTGAAAGCGCAGGACGCCTCCCCTTGAAAGAGTTGCCAGCTCCTTTGCCCGGAAAGGACCCTGCATCTCTACTCAAACAGGCCCTGTTCCCCCTTGTGCTTGCAGCTCCACTGCGGGACTTTTGTTGACTCTCTCTTTATTGGAGCACAGAAGCCTCTGTCCCTTAGTGGCAGCTTCCCCCATCAGTGGAGTTGCATGAGGGTGTGTGTGTGGGGAGGTGTAGAACTTTCCACTGGCCTGGCAGCCGTTCAAAGGGCTCTGTTGCAAGACAAAGACTGAGCTTCTTTAGAAGAGGGATTTTGGCTGGTGCGATTGCTCTCAGCTTTGCTTCAGCACTTCATTTACATGAGAGCCATTGCTGGCGACCATTCTCTTAGTTATTGCTCATTACCGTGCAGTCCTAGCGCAGTGACACCCTTCTAAGTCCATGGCAACCGACAAGAGTGTGTGTGGTGGGGGGGGGGGGGGGGTTGACGACGATTTGCCCAGGATTAGGGTTTCCTTCTCCGCCCCCAATAATGGATGGCATTTTTATCCCAACCCTCTGTCAAGCAGCCCAGGGCACCAAACATTGTTCTCTGCCCACACCATGTTATCTACAACAACCCTTACAGGTAGGCTAGTTTGAAAGCGTGTGACTGGTCTGAGGTCCCCCAGCAAGACTCTGTGGCAGAGGGGGGATTTGGACTTAGCTCCCCCAGAGCCTGGTCTAGCCATTACACCACCCTGGTTTCTCCATAATGGGCCAGTTGTACCAAAACTACCTCTCCTGTGAAGCTAAGGTGCCTGTGACCCTAGTCTCCTTATCCAGTCTTCAGAGAGGGAGAGACAGAGGCTGGGGGGGGGGGATGGTACCCTGTACAGGTATTAGCTGTTAGCTTCTCTTACTTTCATACACAAACCGGACATTTTCTTCGTGAGCCAACGTGTAGCTTTCTTCTGTGGCTGCCGTTTGCTGTGGCATCAGTGGAGGTCTCTTGCCGTTCACCCTGTTGAACACGAGCTTGGGAGCCGAACTGCCAAGAGAGCCAGAGGTTAATAATAAATCCCCCAGCCCCTGGTGAACAGCCCTTGCCCCGGCCAGGAGAGCTAACCACCATTCAGGCCGCTCCAGTCAAGTTTCCCATAACTCTGCGGCTTCTCCCACACCCGGAGACTGCAGCCACCTGGGAAGCTTTGGTAGTAGTAGAAGAAGAGATTGGATTTATACCCCGCCCTTCACTCGAGAGTCTCAGAGCGGCTTACAGTCTCCTTTCCCTTCCCCTCCCCACAACAGACACCCTGTGAGGTCGGTGGGGCAGAGAGAGCTGTGAGAGAACTACTCTTGAAAGACTGGCTCAAGGTCACCCAGCTGGCTGCTTGTGGAGGAGGAGTGGGGAATCCCATCCAGTTCTCCAGATTAGAGTCTGCCGCTCTTAACCACCACACCAAACCGGAGCTTCCTTTCAGATAGCAAAAAAATCAATTTAAAAAAATCCTGTGCTTCCCTGCCTCCTGATTTTCTATGGAAGGCGGGTCTGCCCATGGCCAACAACCACTAGGTAAAGCTCCCCCATTTGGCTTCTTTCGACTCTGATGGAGGATTTTCGAACTTCTAAAATGTTCCTTCCTGCTGCCATTCCTTCAAGTTTTTATGGCTGACACTGTTGATACAGTGTTGTTTTTAATAGTTTTAACATCTTTCACTTAGTTTTGCATATATATATATATATGCATATAGTTATGCATATATTCAAAACCACCTTGACACCCCTGCCTGGAAGCTTAAATAATGAATGCCAGGATATTTAATATATATGCAGAGTACATCAACCACCTAGACACCCCTGCCTGGAAGCTTAAATAATGAATACCAGGATATTTAATATATATGCAGAATACATCATGCAAAATGCTGGCCTGGATGAATCACAAGCGGGAATTAAGATTGGGAAAAGGAGTACGACAAGGATGTATATTGTCACCTTGCTTATTTAATATATATGCATCATGCGAAATGCTGGCCTGGATGAATCACAAGCGGGAATTAAGATTGCTGGGGAAAAGATCACCAACCTCAGATATGCAGACGATACCACTCTAATGGCAGAAAGTGAAGAGGACCTTGCTCAGAGTGAAAGAGGAGAGCGCAAAAGTGGGCTTGAAGCTCAACATCAAAAAAACTAAGATCATGGCATCCGGCCCCATCACTCCTTGGCAAATAGAAGGGGAAGTCGTGGAAGTAGTGACAGACTTCACGTTCCTGGGATCCCAGATCACCGCAGACTGTGACTGCAGCCATGAAATTAAAAGACGCCTGCTCCTTGGGAGGAAAGCGATGGCGAACCTAAACAGCATGATAAAAAGTAGAGACATCACCCTGCCAACAAAGGTCCGCATGGTCAAAGCAATGGTATTCCCAAGAGTCATGTATGGCTGCGAGAGTTGGACTATAAGGAAGGCCGAGCACTGAAGAATAGATTCTTTTGAACTATGGTGCTGGAGAAGACTCTTGAGAGTCCCTTGGACTGCAAAAAGATCAAATCAGTCAGTCCTAAAAGAAATCAACCCTGACTGTTCCCTGGAAGGCCAGATAATGAAACTGAAGCTCAAATACTTTGGCCACCCAATGAGAAGGGAGCCCTCACTGGAGAAGACCCTGATGCTGGGAAAGATTGAAGGTCAAAGAAGACGGGGACGGCAAAGGATGAGATGGTTAGACAGTGTCATAGATGCAACGAACATGAAATTGAGCAAACTTCAGAGGAAGAGGACAGCGGAAGACAGGAGGGCCTGGCGGGAGATGATCCATGGGGTCGCGAAGAGTCGGACTCGACTCTGCGACTGAACAACAATGTCATCGATGCAACGAACATGAAGTTGAGCAAACTTCAGAGGACGGCGGAAGACAGGAAGGCCTGGCGTGATCTGGTCCATGGGGTCGCGGAGAGTCGGACTCGACTGTGCGACTGAACAACAACCAGGAAAAATAAGGGTCCCGTCTGTAGGCTGCTGT